GTAAAACTGACCAATTGCCTTAAATATATGCAGGCTAGCGGTGGTTATGTTTACAGCTACTGGCGAGAGGCCCATTTTGAGCCTTTAGTGGTTCTGTTAGACAGAGACAAGATAGCAAGTCCGATTTTTAATCTTTAAGCTAAACTAACATCTTCCCAGCTGTAAATGACTATTTAAGTGGTAATACTTGCTCATCTAAACTCTCCTCAATATAATGGAAAATTTGGAATCACTCATTTTAAGATCTTTGCTACAACCGAGTTCACAGAAAATGAGACTGGATGGAACGACTGAGGAGGATGTGAATAAACGATGTGACTTTATCTGCTCACCCCCTAATTTTTTTTTCCATCTTGAGAATATAAAGTAAGTCTTACCGTTGCTCTACCTTCCATCTCCAGTTTCCTTTGCCCATTTAGGATTTTGTGACCGATTGTTCCCTGTACACAGTAGCCAGGCATGATAACCTAAAAAAAAAGCAACACAAAAGCACACCTTTTAGGTTTTAAGTGTTACAGATTTCAAAAACGCTGTCCACTTCCTTACAATACTCACCATGTTCTTCTCATTGCCAGCCCATTTCTTGAATATCTGCAAAGACTGACCTGCATGCAGCATACCCGGTGTTGCAAACACCACCTGAAAGTGTCCACATTATTTTACTTCACTGCACTTTGACCTCTTCAGTGAGAAACTTCGCATACTTTTGATGTACAATGGGACTCACCATAGGACCGGGATTATCGGCGTAGGAGCGATCAAAAGCCTTGATGTGCTTAAATTCAAACATGTTTCTCTGTACAAAGGTTTTTCGAATCTTCTGATTGGTCCACGTTATGAAAAGCTTGTAGTAATGATTAGCTTTCTCTGTCAGTCCAGTGGAGAAGTAGATTGGGGCCTTCAGGTTCATTCTCTCCCTGTGTGGTGAGGGGGGGCAATTAGAGCGTCTGTCCAAAGAGCCAGTGAAGAAGTTAATGTGCCACATTTATTCTATCAAGCTTAATAAATTGAATACAGCTACTTTAGGGAGCTGTCCAGACAAATATCAGCCCTTTTTGTATTGTAATCATGTGCAATTACTCTACACTGAAAGGACTTTTTATTTAATTGGAATGTCAACAATTATGTGCTAGAAAAATTGCCTTTATCTGATATCATTCAGCCAGAGAACAGACCGTGATTATCTTCACGCATCACTGTCTTTGCTCTCTTCTTTCTAGCTTTCACAGAGACTTCCTCCCTTTTTAATAGAACCCATACAGCAAACAGAGATAAAAGGCACACTTGCTAATGCTTCTGAAGAGTCTTTTAAAACAGATCTGTACCAAAATGTTTCCAGCAGGATGCAGAGTTCTTGTGCTCGACCGAGGGCGAAAACTGGAATAAGAACCTGGAAGGTTGGGAAGAAAAAAAAGATCTTAGAAAATATATAATACTAAGATGAAGAAAACCCGACTACTCGCAAAAAATGCAATATTCAATAAACTTTAACCGTTACCTTTCCTCCTCTTTCTATGCTTTCATGAACTTTCTTCAGAAAGTCCCGCTCTCTGCACCTCTTTGAGTCACGGATGGTGGTGGCGTATGTAGACTCAGAGATGAGAATGTCTGGGCGACACTTATCGATCCATGCGGCACTGTGAATTTACAACACCAGCATTATGAAACTGTCACAGTCAAAAGCTTGGAAAAACCTAAGAATTAAAAGATGTTTTAATTATAATTTCCTATTTTCTAATTGGGGAATAAAACTAAAGACATCAAAACAAATAAATGAACAAATGTGGATTCATACAGTCGGCGCTAGAGGTTTAAACAAAGTGTGTATTTAATGTATGTGTAGAAAAAGTTAAGGCAATGGACTTAAAAATTCTCTCTAATGGCCAGCTATACAACCCAGACACTCGATGTCCAGGAAAACTTTATTTTCTTGTTACTGCTGAATGTCTTGTAAGCTAACCAACTGAAACAAAAAGCGAGGCATGCAGACAACAACATCACCCACTCATCTATGCTATTATCTTGTGGTTAGATGATGTAATCATATGCATGTCTAATAGCGACGTTGGTGCTTTCCTCCCTTATATATGTAGTTATTAGGCCACAAAGATACATGCACAATTGTTGAATCATTTTGAGCTTTTTTGTAGTGCTGCTTATGCTAAACTAAGACCTTCCTGGCTCCAGGTTGATATTTAAGGAGTACTGATTTGGTCATTTAAACATCCTTGAAGACAGTGGAAAGTCTGGAGCTACATCTTTCATAATCTATGCAACCCAATCCTAAAGATTACATTGCTTTATACCCCTTTTGACTACAGCAGGGCTTACACTTTACAAAATAAACAAGCTGTACTCAGTAAGACTTTAAGCTAACATAGAAAGGTCATAGGTCAAGTGAGCAGTAAGTATGTGTGACTGCAATACATTGGTACAGATATATGCCCTTTAGTGCTGAGTAACAGACTAAAATAGTAAACTTTCGTTGACCAAAACTGAAGCATAAACATCTTGGACAGTCTGTCCCAAACAGGAAACCATAATATTTCAAGTTCAATCAAAATGCCGTGGCAGCCGTGCCATTTTTAAATATGTCACCAACAGTGTCCCTCACTCGCCTGTAACTAAAATCTGACATTGGGACCCATTCGACCGAAGTCATGATTCTGACTCAGCTAATGCCTATTTCTTGTATTTCTTAGTCCAGGCAGTACTTCTCTTCTAATTAGTCTCCCTCAGTAGTATATACACAGCGTCCTCCCTGCAGCTTATGTGGAGATCTGTCGCTGACTGAACTTTGGGAAGCATTGATGTGCCTTCTGATCTGAGCTGCTGTTAATTGGTGAAGTCTGAGCCCCTAATGAACATTTTCTGCAGCAGAGGTGACTCTTAAGTCTGTCTCTCCTAAGGCAGTCCTCACAAGAAACCGTTTCATCTGGGTGTTTGATGTTTAAAAGTTGTTTATATTTTCTGGTCTCACTCACCTTCATGTCTTAAATACTTAAAAGTGACTTTCTGTTCACTTTACTTGTTTGATTAAGGGTTGCTTTTAATACCTGCAGCGGTCAAATAGGGCTATTTACCCACTCACCCCTCTGTTGGGGATCCCTTTCCATGAATGACTGCATCAATGCAGCATACTGTGCAAGTGATCAGCTTGTGGCACTTAAGCTCATCTGCATGAATAAGGTATTTCTCAGCTTCCTTTCTCAAGTCATGTAAGTTGGCTGGCCAATCAAGGACAGTAATGTCATGATTAGCAAACCTTTTAGTAGTAGTTTTGGCACTGTGGTCAGTTGCTAAGTCCTGCTGCAAAAGGAAATCTGCTTCTAATAATACATTTACCCTTTAAATAAGCTCAGTCAGATCCCAGCTTTGATTTTTTTTTTAACACTGTTTAGAACAAACAGACCGGCCTCTATTGAATATTGAAATTTATTACTGAAAACCTCCCCATATATTTGAATAGTTTAGTACAACTAACACGTTCTTTAATAGTTTTTATGTTTTCAGTTGCTGTGTTGACCCCTAAAAGGGTGTAGTCAAAAGAAGAAAAGGATTCAAGCTTAAAAAAGAAACAGAATTAATAAAATAAAGCCATGGGATTCCAAAATTACAGCTTATTTTTCAACTTCTGATCATTTTTTTGATCCAGAAGTTATTTTATTTCGCATCGCTTGTGAAAAAAGCAATTTAACGGATGTACAAGCCATTAATGGAGGGTCAACCTCAACACGCAAATTGTCAGAAGAATAAAATTACTGAATGAAAGCAAGAAAGAAATACTGCATCTTAGGCTTTTGCGCAGATCAGAGTTAGGATTTTAGGAACGACTCAAAATAAGATTTTAAGAAATTCAAAATGGGCACTGGCAGTCTTAAATTTGTAAATGTATGATCTATTTTTTAAAGAGTTAAATAACTAAAAGAAAAACCTCAAACAAGTAGGTTCACTTACCCTAAATGCCTGTCCGGTGTCATGTTATAGTCACCCTAAAATAAAAAGAAATTATTCTCAGATTGCACTTGATAAATTCACCTACTGTGACAGAGCGCACACTTGTTTACACTCACAGTGTAGACCACAGACTCTGATCCCACTTTGATGTGAACCATAGCAGCTCCCAGGACATGGCCTGCATAGTACGCCTTGATCTCCAGCTCATCATCCACCTGCCACCAGCACAAAACAGCTTGAATTGCCATCAAAAGAGAAGAAGCAGCTGGCGCAGAAGCAACTATTAGACATGTGTGCGTGTGTGGTCAAAAATGATGTCAGCACTGCACCTGGACAGTCTGGTGCAGGTTCAAAGGAATCACTTTCTTCATGCAGTCCTTGATCATCTGCGAAGTGAAGAAGTTGGTTTCTCCCTTTTTGTCAACGGTGATCTTCCGGAAATCTTCCAGTAAAATGGGGCAAATGGCTTTGGTGGGATGGGTCATGTAGATGGGTCCATCATAGCCCACCATCTCACTCATGTAGGGCAGAGCACCGCAGTGGTCCAAGTGGAAATGGCTGAAAAACGTAGAAAGGTGTACTATGTTCCACACATGGTTGAGATTATTAAAAAAAGGTGCAATATGAAGAACATAACAAATAAGACAACAAACCTGATGATCACACAGTCCAAGAAATCTGTCAGACGCCCGTTCTGTGTTATATAAGAAAAGTCTGGGAAACGTCTCTGCAATGATAAAACAATCTGTTATAGGACTGTTACTAAATGGAAATCATCTTCTTTCAAAGGTAGAAAACAGTGCATTTAAAAAGGAGAGTCTCTTTCTTAGAAGGACTGTTTCATAATAGCTGTGTTTAAAATGCATTCCAAGTCAGAATGTACAGAAATAGCAGCAGTTTGCACAGAGAAGCCCAGCCCACCTCTGCCAGCTTAGTCATACCTTTACTGCCAATGTAAGCGTTGAATAACAGAGTCCCACGTCACTCAGTGTCTGGGTATTGTGAACTGTCATTTAGTGCGCAGACACAAACGATATTCACTGTGCGTTCCCTGACTCAAAGCTGCAAGGAAGCAACCCTCTCATCCATTGGGGAAAACCTCAACGTACAGGTAGGGAACACAAGCTGTCTGCTCTCACCTACTGTAGGGCAACTCAAGAGGTTCCATTGCCTGAGCTACTCGCTGAGGTGAGTCCAACTATATCAAGTTTGAATCTCTCATCCTCACACACCAACTCAGGCTCCTTCTCCACCCAAAAAGTGATGTTCCATATACCACAAGCTAGTTTTGGAAACCAGGGATCGTCAGACCTCAGACCACCGTCTGATCCACCAACCCCCTCTTTGTCCTTTTATTGCAAAAAATTTGATGGTAAGGACTAAAGACAGTCCAAGACAGTAACAACTGTGTTATACTGCTAACACATCATCGGTTCTTCGAAAACATCCCGCTGACAGCAGGCTAACACAAAAATACGAAGAACCCAAAGTTATGTTCAAGCTGAGTGAATGCAGACGCAGGCCCAGCAGGTAGAGCCTGATCTTCAACATGTAACGAAAGCATTGATGAGCAGTCAGACTCTTCTCTCTATCTTCTTAAGTAGAATCACTGTGGTGACCCCCTTTAAGCCTCTTTGGGCTGATTTTCAATTTTACTTTGTGTTATTGTTGATTTTAAATAAGAAACATCATTAGTGTCCTCATTAGGATAGGTGTTTGTGTCAGTGTGTAGGACTGTAGTCTCAGGTTTATATTAAATGATAATTATGTGACACTGTATTTCAGGTCAAGTTACACAGGAATGTGAAAGTGGTGTTAGTAGTAGCAGGGTAATGAATTAAGTTCACCAATGAGTAATTTAGAAATATACTGCATTCATTTTGCAAAAAGTAAACAGTAATGTGTACCACATTACTTTTCTGAGTAACAACTCCAAAAGTGCAGATAGATATCTGCTGGCTCCCCAAAAACCCCAAAACATTTGCCAAAACCTGTACAGCACACATCAGCAAAATAGATGGGTTGGAAATTGCACTTCGGCCCTCAATGTGGTAAAGGAAAACTATATATGTTAACAACAAAAAAACAAACAAAAACCAAACACTCCAACATGTCCAAACCATCTCAGCCTTAGCTCTTCAAATCACTTAACATGAAATGTCTCTCAAATGTACTAATTTCTAATCCTAATGAAAATCTTAACTTCTTCAGACCTGCCTCCTGTCTTTTTGTCAGCAGATCTCACTACAGTCTTGTAAACCTTCCCAGTGTAAAACAGCCTAGTTGGTGTTAACTTTTGCTGTCATATTTGAAACACTTCTGTTTCACTTTAGAGTCTTTTATTTTGCCAAAGTCTCATGTAGGGTTTTGATTTGGGATTCTTGTCAGTATGCTATGTGCAGGGTGCTTATAACTACCAATAAGATAAAGGAAACCAATAAGGGTAAAAAAAAAAAAAAAAGCTTTTGCTATAACAAATGCATTATGTCACTCACATCATCGTTGTAGCCCATGTGCATCCCACAGTCCAGCATTATGTTTTTGCCTCCGATGGAGACGAGGATGCAGCTCCTGCCCACATCCTGTCCAGCACCTTGGAAAGGCAGGACAGAAGATAAAAGTTCAGAATTACACTCCTTTAGTAATGGTAGTAAACACACAAGTGCGCAGCGGTAGGATTTAAAGGCTAAGTAGCATCACCAAATACAAACAAATCCCGAAGTGGTTTCTTTTCATAGCAAGGCAAATACTTAAATAGATCTTAAAAGTTTTCCAGCTCATGTACAATATGAATGTTGACGGAACTGAGGCGCTAGCTAGCTAGCATCTGTACTCACCGAGTGGCGTTACTTTTATTTCAGGCATGCTTTCTCATTGGGCAGCCTTTTTTTTTATATACACAGGTAAATGACACCAAGGTTACCTAAACGTCCAGGCTCTGTCAGCTGAAAATAACTTCTGAATTATATAGGAAAGTTTATTGTGTGTAGCTTTAAAACATGCAGCTAATATTATGCACTGACTTTATTTTTTAGCAGCGTTGGGCTAACACGCAGGACTTCCGGCCAGTGCTTTCATAATAAAACCAAATTGCTACGAAAGCCTGCAGAAAACACAGGTGGAAAGGACCCGGGTAAGGTTTTGAAGACTATTTCCATATCTCATTTTGATAATCTATACTTCCTTTCAAGCAAACCTTGAAAACAAATTCAACTATCTATATTTCTTGAAAAATACTATGTCTTCCACTTTTAATTATACTGAACTGATAGATGTGTGAATAAATTTTCAGCATAAGGAATATGACACCTCTAAAAATGATTAACCAAGAAAAAGTGGCATCACGTAGTCTGGATAGCACTAAGAATGAAAGGGAAGGTTTACAACATGCTAATAAGACCTGCTATGGTTTGGAAACTGAAACGGGGTCACAGGATAACTGGCCACAGTGATATTTAAAGTCCTCTCATCCTGCCTTGCCTCTTCTTACTCTTTGCTTACTTATTATGCTTCACTGCCTACACACCAGCTACCATTTCAAGTGACATTTCAGGTAGCAATTCACCTGTCTGGAGCTCTTTTTGACCTAATTTCAGCACTGCCTACAGGGATTTCAGGTGCATTCATTTATAAAAGTTCATTTCTGGCATACAAAGGCTATGCTGTTTGTCACTTTTTATTTTTCACACATCAGTGACGTTTATGCAACAAAACTATTTGTTTAAGTGCGGTGGGATCATGGTTTGGGTTATAATAACTTCTTTCAACAAGTCCAATAAGCAATCAAGGTACAAATTTCCTTCGCTTTTATTTTGAAGATAAAGTCGCCAAGTTAGAGCCTGCGCAGTAGAACCGGATAAGAACAGACAGGATCTGTCGCTTCACGGTGTCGAGAAAAAGAAATGCGTAATTGTCCTTTCAATTTTAACTTTTCTTGTAGGTGACGAGTTCACTTCTTGATCGTTTACCACAGGGCTTGCATTTTTACCCAGTTCCGGTTTGTTTGTAGCCCCGGAATACATTTTTTCATTCATTTTTTACGTGCCTGTTTGTGTCATTTGCACTTCCTGGTAGAAACCATGGCAGGCTCAGAAGACCAGAAGTTCTCCCTCCAGGAGGTCCTAGACACTTTTAAGTTGTGTCTGTCGGAAAATAAAGAAGTCTATCTAGAACAGTACGTCGCTGGATGGCGTGGGCTTGTAAAGTAAGTGGTTTGGGGGTCCAAATATTCTCTGTGTGTTCTTACATCAGTGTAGAAGCAAGGCGAGCAGATCACAGCAAGGTAAATGTAGGACAGAGAGCGTTTACTATAAGCTAAGATCACGTCTTGAGATTTATATCTGATCTAGCTGACTCTTCATCTATTTGAGAGAGAAAAAAAAGATGAACTTTCGTATGTTTAATGAATAAATAAAAGTGTCACCTTCATGCCATGAAAACTTTCCAGGTTACAGACCCTATGGGCTAAAATTTGCTGCTTTTAAATTAATTATTTTATGAGTCCTTGCAGCTTCATAATTACAGGAGATCCACAGGTTTGAAAAACACATTAAAGCTCTGTTCAAAAACAAATAAATTGTATAACCTGAAATCAAACCCCCCTTTTGTTCAATTCTGTTTTCTGATTCCAACTTTGTGCCTCAGTATCATGTCTCCTTTCCCTCAGCCCTAACTGCTTGCACCAGATGGCTGCCCCTGACTGAGCCTGGTTCTCCCTTTTAACAGGTTTCTTCCTGTTACAAGGAAATGTTCTTTCCCACTGCTGCCAAAATGCTTGTTCATAGGGGGTTGTCTGATTGTTGGGGTTTCTCTGTATTATTGTACGGTTAATGTACCTTATAGTGTTAAGCACTTTAAGGTGAATTTTTTGTGATTTTTAAATAAATAAAATTGGACTGTATTGAAAGTTATATTGTAGTTTCAATTGCAAAACTACAACAGTTGAATGTCTGTGAAACAAGGGTCATATCACAGGCTGAGATAGGTGGCTGATCAAAACAGGTTATAGCATATGAAAGGGTCTACTTTACCTACAGACTGATCCCAGGATCATATTCCTGGTAATAGTGTGCCTTCTTGGCTAGGGCTAGGTCTCTGTGGAAAAAGAGATTTTATTCTCAGTGGACTTCCTGTTTTTTGGGGGTTTTTTGTTGTTTTTTTTAAAAATCAATAAAATGTGATGACAGAAGCAGGCTGACAAGCATTTGCAAAACTGGTAATGCTAGCATGAGTGTTCCCTTTTTAAAGCTCCATGTTTTTCTTATATAAGAGCAATTAAAAGATCCAGTAGAAAAAAGAAATAAAAGTAAAGGAATCAAAGGCAACACAATAGCATTACAAAACTGGCATATTTTAGAAATGACTGGAATTTGCAATTATAATTGAAATTCAAATTGCAGCGGCTTTCATAAATGTTGCATTTTTATTGTAAGAAGTATGTGAAATATTTTTGCAGCAGGAACAGCATAAAAGGGAAAGAGTTGAGCTTCAGCTCTGGTCTGTGAGTGAATTCTTGGAATTTCTCATGTGAACTGAACCGATTATAATTTGCAGGCATTTAGAATTTACTGCCGTAATAGTAGACCAAAAGGACACCCAGGTGTTAACTGAGTGTGTTTTTACTCCTTGTAATAGGTTTCTGAACAGCTTGGGAAGTGTCTTTGGCTTCATTTCTAAGGATGCTGTCAGCAAGATCCAGATCCTTGTGAATTATATGAATGGTGAGAACGCTTCTCACTATGCTACTGTGCAGTCGATGGTAAAATACGAACTGGACAATAATCTCGTGGATGTGAACAAGAAAGGAAGCCACCCAGAGTCTGGCTGTCGTACTCTGCTGAGGCTCCACCGCGCTCTGAGATGGCTGGAGCTCTTCTTGGATCGCCTGCGCACCAGCACAGAAGACAGTAAAACATCTGCCCTGTGTGCAGAGGCCTACAACGAGTCCCTCGCCCAGCACCATCCGTGGATGATCCGTAAGGCTGCGGGCATGGCCTTCCTCGTGCTTCCTGGTCGCCAAACCTTTTTCGAAGTAATGAATGTTGGCCCACCTGAGCAGGTTGTGGCCAAGCTGGGGGAGGCCCTACCTCTCATCTCTGAGGTGTACCAGATCACAGAGGACCTATATGCTCAACATAACATGCTTGATTTACCTTAGAAGCAAGAAGTGCTAATATCTGACACATCATACTTTATATAATTAAATATTTGTAACTTGTCCTTGGTGAAAGGCTGCTGAACAAGATGCTTCTGCTGCTTGGTGAAGGATTGTGTCATAATTAGCTGTAATACCACTAAGATTAATTTTGAAACTACTGTATACATGTTTTAACATAAAATTCTGTACATTTTCCTCCAAGTAATGGACCTTTGAATGTATTTTTATTAACTCATCTTTTGCTTTTAAATCAACAGTTCCCAGTCTAGGGTCAGAGATCATTTACAGTATATTAATTAATATTAATATATTGTTTGTAGTTAACTCAGATTTTGAAGATTTTACATTTTTTAGACAGAAATATATAATTTAAAAAGCTGCACCTTTTAAACTTTTGACCATCCACCCATCAGTCTTTCTGAGTAAATGAGCCCAGCCATCTCTGAGGAAGGTTAAACATGTAGGATAAGATCTTGTTGGTTTAATTCTTATAATATTTAACAGAATAAAATCCTTCTTCTAAAATAACCAATCTTAAATAATAAAAATCAGTTTATTTCTTTTTAAATCCTTAAGGACTTTTTGACTTGGTTTTTCATTTAGTTTAAAGTTGCAATTAGATCTTTATATTTGAAAAAGAAACTGATCCTGAATTTACCTTAAATCCCTTCATTAGTTAGAATTTTTTTTTTTAAGTAAAGCTGCTGGAGAAACACTCTTAGACAATAAATTAATAAAAGTTAAAATCTAAAAGAGTTTTTAGACAGAATTTCAATTTTCAATTCTCTCCCAACAGTCAAGATTTAGAAAACAACACGGCAAAATAACTGCTTCTATTAAAGCGTAAATGACAATACTGATACAAAGAACTACAAACAATACAAAACAATGTCTTTTTCTTCAATTCTAAAAGGCTTTTCATACAGTTTACAATACCACCTTAATAAATGGACTACACAACACTGCTTTACCTGGGAATGCTGTAAGTTGATTTTTAAGTTACTTGTAAGCACACATTGTGTCGCTTCGTCTGGTCTGCCCTCCCTTGTCTCCTATTATTCAAGGAGTTCCCCAGGGCTCCATATTAGGACCACTATATATAACTTTCCATTAATTTCCGTTAATTTATTAAATGCTGCGTTCTGTTTTTATTCAGTCATCTATTGTTATAAATTATTTACTGTTATCATTTACTGTTTAACTCCTTCAGTAGTACAGACCCTGGAATTTCTGCACTCATTCTTTGATGTTCTCATTTGATGTTCCCATCTTAAAACTTGCATCTTTGTTTGTTTCTTTAGTTATGTTTGTATTTGTTGCAATCTGCACTGCCTTCTTGGCCTTGTCTCTCTTAACAAGACTGTTTTAACCTCAGTAACACTTTTTACTTTGATTTAAAAAAGAAAATCTGAATTAATGAAATAAAAGGAAATATTGACCTGATTGAAGTTATCAAATTTCGGATGGAGGATGTTCAAATTACAGTTTTCCATTGTGGTCATGTTTGGGAATAGCTGCTTTGGATTGTTTTGTTTTTTTTGTTTTTTTTAATTAATTTAAAAAAATATGAAGGGAACTACAGTGGGTCCCTGAAGTCTTGGGCTCCCGTTTAAAGCTGCTGTTTTTGCAACAACATTTATTCAAAGGAAATAAACCAAGTTTGCATTTTGGATTTGAGATTTCAGCATTAAGAAGTAATGAAGAAACAATGAAATGACAAATTAATTAGAAGTGAACAAATGTTTGGCTCTCAGATATGAAAACAGGCTGAAGAGATTTAATATCTTAAGAGGATTAACAGAAAAGTTATTTGCTGGCATGATGATGATATTTTGTAATGCTTAAAAGACCAAACATTTAATTGGGGAAACATGACACAAAGTAATAATGAATAATAGTGAGGTATACCGATTATGAAAATTGTATGGAATAAAGTAAACTGTTACGTCAGTTTTTCAGCTGCCATGCAGTATTTAATCCAGTGTTAAAATGTTGAACCTTCTGTTGCTGGTAATCATTATTAATGACCTTTCTATTTAGATATATTACAAAATATTCCATAAATATGGGATGATGATATATTACAAATGCAAATGGACAAACATACTTAATTGGGAAACAGCATGTTGTAAATCATTGATTAAAAAGGTTTAACTCTGTACATTGTTGTTTTCCATAAATTCATATCACTTCTGTGTTTTACTACACATCTGATTTAGGTTTTTTCTTGTTAAATGAAGATTTGTATTTTTGTTACATGCAAATGTTTATTTATGTCCACATGAACAAATGTTTTGCATTATGAATTGATTTATGATTAATGTACAAATATCATGATAGAATATAGCATTGTATTTGGAATAAGCATGTTCTGTATTCTGTGTTATTATTCACTCAAACATGTAATAAACATTGCAGGTGAAAAAAGACAGATGTTCCCGTTTGGCCGTGAAGGATGTACTTAAGGTTTCTTATTTTGTGAATTAAACTTTGTCATGTGATTTTTTTTTATTTTAGAAAATAAGTCATTGTAAGTGCAGCCATCTCACTGTCCGTAAACAGCATCTTGAAGGTGACAGAAATGAACACATATCATTACTATGAGACTAAATACGCTCACCGGCCACTTTGTTGGGTACACCTGTTCATCTACACATTAATGCAAATGTTTACTCAACCAATCACATGGCAGCAACTAAATGCATTTATGCATATAGACAAGATGATCAGCTATAATTCAATCTGAGCATCAGAATGGGGATGAAAGGTGATTTAAGTGACTTTGAATATGACATGATTGTTGGTGTCATATGGGTTGATCTGAGTATTACAGAAACTGCTGATCTGCTGGGATTTTCCCACACCACAGAGAATGGTCTGGAAAAGAGAAAATTGATTTATGATTAAGGCTAAGGATATTTTTCCTGCATTATTTTATTTTAGGTAGTTTTGTGAGAACACATTATTGTTTCAGTTAGTTTTGGTTTTGATTATAGTGAACACTTTTTCAAACCTAATTTTAGCTTTTAGCTCACTAAAATAAGCTTGCCACCTTCTGTTTGCATTAATGTATGAAGCTGCAGTTGCATGTTTCCAACAGCAGGGGACTCCCACTCTCCAACCACAGGTTGTCAAGGCAACCAGAGTGTCATGGCAACGTTGCTGACGCTTGAGAAAGGACTTAATACCCAAACTGGGAAGTAAAGCGCACAAACGCTAATTTAACTTGTTGACCAGCTACGGAAGCGTACACTTATACGTTTAACCAGTGCGATAGTTTTTAAAAGCTGTGCTCATAGCCTTTCGAACAATATAAACTTTCTTTACTCCTTTTTGTAAAGCACTTACGCCGAAACACAGCTGGAAATCTTCAAAGCAGCGGATCTTCGATGCATCTAACAAGGCCAAAATCCTCTAAGGGGCGAAGCAGACCTGCTGTAGACAGCTCACTGTATCCAGGAGAGGCGAACAGCATCCACAGGGAGCCGGGGTCTCCTGAGTTCCGCAGGCCGGACAGAAACCTCCGCTCCCGGTCTCAGCCCGTCATGTTGCAAGCTAACCACCTGAGCCAAGAGGAAGTTTTGCACATGCTGCAGCGTACTCCTGCTGCTCCGCCACAGTCCTTAAACAAGTACAAAGTCCTTCCGTCAATAGAGAAGAGAAGGCAGTCAGAGGTGAGCCTGCACAAAGACGTGTCCAACCTTAACCTAGCAAAGGATGGTGATGATGTGACCAAGGTCTGCAGCCCCAGTGATTCAACGGCAGAAGCTGGCAGTGGCAGTTTGCTTCTTGCTGTAAGAGCTCCATGCGGAAGGAGGTTTCAGCAGCCCTTTGACCCCACACACACTCTGCTAACAGTGAAAGCCAGTGCAGAGGCCAGGTTTGGAACCAGGTATGAAGATGCTTGCATCGAGACCATGGAGGTGCCACGCAGGACCTTTAGAGACCTGCGTATGACTCTGGCACAGTGTGCCATTCCTAACAGATCCGTGCTGTGCATCTCTCAGAAAACTGACACTATGGGGGGACAGGAGTAATATGTGTTCTTTGAGGTCTGTAATTGTGCATTTTGTAGCTTCACTTGGATATCTGAACTTCACTGTGCAAAGTTTAAAAGGCTTCTTTCACACCAATCTGTAGCCTCTAACATTTTTAATGCCAAACTTCGTCCAATATGCACCTTACTCAAGTAAAATTAAGCTTCTCGTGCTCAGGATCTGTGTAGCAGAAGAGATGTTTTTCTGCATTGTGTGTTCATGAACCTGCACGGAGTTGTGATTCTTCAGAGTACTTTGAGATTATATACATTTCAGGATGTATAAATAAATGTTTCATAACTCTGGAAGCTCAATGAGCAAATGGGGTTATATATTTGGAAAATAAAATATTCACAACGATGTTGATTCTCAAAAATGATTTAGGTGGTCTTTACACATGTAAAAGCTCCGTTTTGCAATCTACATTTAATAAATTTTAGTATAGCTCCTTTCAATTTGTTTTCCCAAAGTGTTCATTAAAACTAACTTATCATAATCAAGTTTTATTATTAAATGAAGGAAAGTAATCTTTTGAATCATTTGATTAAATTTAAATTAATAAAATGTATCCTTTTTCAGGGAGTTCATGGCATGGGCAAGCAAGTATAACATCTTCCAAAAAACAAGTTTAATGACAAAGTAAAATGGTAGAAGTTTTACATTCATGTCCGCAGTATATACCGTTTATATTTAGAGTTCAGGGTGCCTCACATCCCACTAAATGATATTTACTAGTTTAATTGCTTCAGTAAGATTTTGCAAGCTGGAATTATACAGCCTGCTCCTGAAGGCATCATCAAAACCTTATTACTCAGGTGTACTCATTAAAATGTAAGCTATTAGAACCACGCCAAGGAACTTGGAGTTTTTCACCAGAGAACTTTTGAATCCATTTAAATTGCTTGTGTGTTTGACTTCACAGAAATGGTAGTCAACACCAAAGTGAGTCAATTAGTCTGCTTAACTGAAAATACAGTTTTAAATTTTAAATAAAATTATGCTCAAATGTGTTTCAACAAACTCATAATACCATTTGTGCCAACTCTGGAAAATTTATTGAAACAATCACACAGTAAAGTTAAAGGGGGAAAAAGCTATCAGGTCTCTCCCTCTGTCTCTCTTTTTATTAACTTATTTTTTAAACTTTAAGTCATCTTCTCAGCAGGCTTTAACAAGATTTTTTTTTTTAAATCCACAAAAAAAAAAACAACTCAGCAACATCCTCACATGAAATTATGACTCCCGCTACAGTAAGACAGGCATTTTAAACTTTTAAAATGCTTTAAGCCACTCAAGGATAATTGATCAAACTCAAGTCATGCAAACATCTATACTAACTACATTAATATTTCACTGCACAAATAAATGAAAGAACACTGCAATCCAACACTCCTGTATGCTTTAAGGTGACGTCAGTGAACAAAGGCAAACAAAATCAAAGTGCAAACTTTGTTTTGCAAAGTTAACACACGCATGCATCTGTAAACAATAAAAGTGCAAACAATAAATCCTTGGGGGAAGGGGGGTCATTAACATTTTAGGCAACATGTCTGGTTGTTGCAACTTCAGCTTATCAGGTTCTCCATTTCTTCCAGATTGGAGGTGTCAAGTTTGATGATTTTCCTGTCTGTAGGTGAAAGGGAAAAAAGAGGACGCATCATTAGGATCTGGATTCTCTCAATTGTATCAAGCTTGAGTAAAAAATGGAACATACCGAAATGCATCTCAATCTGTTTTATAATGTCCATGCTGTGCTCGCTGTCCACCATATTAACAGCAAATCCACGTCGGCCAAAACGGCCGGTACGGCCAATGCGGTGAAGGTATGTATCATTGTCAGCATTCCCGTCCAGATCAACTGGGAGTTCGAAGTTCACCACCAAAGACACCTGTTCCACATCAATACCTGCAATCCATGTAAGCAAAATAGTAAGTGCTGGATAGGGCTGTTCGATATAACGATATGTATCGGATGACGATATAAAAAAGCCTATTGTTTCATTTTACGCTATTGTTTGTTTTGTGGTGTCGCAAAATAAACTGTTTACGGCAATATTTTTTCATCATTTTGATGGTCACTGTAGTGACTATATTAATTTCTTAAAGTTCTCTCTTTCGCTTATATTTTAAAAGAACCACACTACGGACGGACAAGTGCCTGTTTTTATGCATTGTCGTAAGCAACAACGATGGTAAAACCATCGCGTGTCCGCTTGTTTATTTTCCACATAAACCTTTCACAATAAAGCTCAAGATCCTGTTGAGACTTAAAAAAACAAAAAACAAACCCTGAATCATGTGAAAGAGTATGCAGAGTATTTATGGATGAGAAGCAAAAAAGAGCAGTCAGGTGCTAAAAAATAAACCTTAGACTCAAACATTAGAACAGGCTTTTCTCCGCAGCACGCTATGTAATAAATACTCAAAGAAAACAGCGGCCGGTGCAACTTATGTCTAAAAATGCATCCTTTAATAAATCGGTTAAAACACTCGACTCCAGGTACACGACGCCCAGCTGGAAACACTTTCCGCAAGTCAAGCTGCCCGAGATTCACAGAAAATGTTAAATCTTTGTGATTTATATCGTTATCGAGATTTTGGTCATACCGCACAGCCCTAGTGCTGATGGACATGGACTTCAGGGATCAACAGTGGTTAAAGTGATCTACACTGGCTCACTGATAAAAAAAAAGAAAAAAGAAAAAGTTTTTAGACAATTTCCCCACTGATGGATTAAATAATAAACATTTTAATAAACCGAATCTGCCTCACTTTAAAATAGAAGTGTCCACCTCTAGCTCTACATTAATGGGTGCACACTTACCACCATTGGTATCAATCATTGGCAATCACGCTGACATTCCCTCCCAGAATGAGTTTATTTTAAACTCTCACTTCATTGCCTTCTTACCTCTTGAGCACACATTCGTGGTCACAAGCACTTTCTCTTTGCCGCTCCTGAAGCGTTCGATGACAGCAGCTCGCTGCTCCACTGTCATTTCACCACTTAGCAATGCCACCCGATGGCCCTCTTTGGTCAGACTTTCTGTCAGCCAGGCAGCCATCTTTCGGGTCTAAAGAAAGAGGGTAAGAAAAGAAGTTATAACCACTCATACTTACAATTTAGACACTAAGGTTTTGGTTTTTTTGGGTGGGTGGGGTGGTGTGTGTGTGTGTGTGTGTGTGTGTGTGTGTGTGTGTGTG